AACCATAATAATAAATATATAAATAATGTTTTGTTTGCTTTTGTATCTATTAATTCACCTATTTTAGGTGGACTTTTACTTGATATATTGGAAATAAACTTGTCAACAACTCCCAGCATAAATTTACTATTTGTTTACATGCGTAGGTTAGACCAAAACGCCGTAATCCGCTCTGTGTGTTCGAAGTCCTTATTCGAAGACTGACGGAAAGGGCCAAAAAGTTACGGCTTATATCAATAATATATTCCATTTCCGTTGTAAGTCCGGGCACGTTTTAAAGTTTTGTTATATGTACGATTCGTAATTTACATACACGATCAGAGTCATATTATGTTTCGATATCCATTATGACACAAGAGATAAACTGCAACGACTGTTTCATGATCAAACCGTTGGTATAAAACTTTAACAAGTAAATAGATTTTCCACAAGTTTTATGTTCATCCCATTTAATGCTAGATTTTTTCCGATCATGCTGTACAAAGGCATGTTTATCATATCCGGGGTTTATAAAAAACTTGCTAGAAATGTCTAAGCGTCTTTGTATTCTAACCCAGTCAAAAAAGTGTCAATTTTCATTGTTATGATTTATACTAGGAGGGGAAGCTACGTCCCTTTGTACGATTCAGAAAGCCTGACATTTCGAGTTATGTACATTGTTTATCAGTTAGTAATAGAAAGAGGGTATCTGACTTGTACAAGTGTTTTTTGATATTTTTCCTCTTATGTATCATAGGTAAAAATAAAAACACGCTCCCTGTGGTCACAATACAAAATCTCGGAAAATGACTCTGCTATCGTTATCCATTTCCAGTAAACATAAGAAAAGCCATTCAACGAACGTCCACCGACAGACAGTGCGGTTACTAATACATGCAATCCAGTTAACGCACTGTTCATGTATGGCTTGAGAATTTTCAATAGAAAGGTCTCTAAGCTATAATCGAAAAATGAGCGAAATACATTTTCTCTGGCAAACTTGTTATTTTTTAGCTCAACAGACTCTGGCATGTTTTCAAACGTAAACTTGCATCCTTCCAAAACAACAGTAAAAAATATATTCCCCTGGCTTCGCCTCTTGCCAGTGCTTAAGGCAACTTCGGAATCTTCCGACTGGAGACACTACTTTATCTAAAATTTTATCATTCTAATACTTATGTAAAACAAGTTTATTCAAATATTTAGCGTATTTGTATCTGAATTTTCTTCCTGCTTATCAGGCTGGTGTTTCTGTTAGTTTTACCCATGTCCGGAAATTTCACTTGTCATGGGGGTGCCAGAATGGTCGGGTGCTATGCAATGGCATGTATAATATGACTTAATTTTGCCGATTTGAATGAAGTGGTAATTTCAAAAGCTGTTGTAAGAAAAAGTTACAGTTATAATGTCATAAATGTCTATGGAAATTGTTTTATTTTTAGTTTTATTTAGTTGCGGTACGAATAGGAATATACATCTCTCGGGAACCCGCCCATGGACGGTAACTCGGCACTCGGCAAGCCTCGTTACCGCCCAATGACCGAATGTACCCTGAGGACACAAATTCCGATCTGAAGCGCAACATATAACAGATATTATTGTTCTCAATATTGAAATCACCACATATCTTATCATATACAAGTATATGCTTTAAGCGCGGGAAACCCGGGCACTGGCGGGCAAAGTGCCACGTGAATGTGCTGACGGATACGAATGGCATTGCACAATATAAGTGTAAATTATGGTTCATTTTTTAGAGTCTTTTGATTTCAATATTGAGAATAATAATATCTGGTATATGTTGCCGTTCAGATCGGAATATATGCCCCTTGGGTGGTAACGAGGCGAGCGACAGGGCGACATCGCAACAACACGCCGCACGACAACGCGTCGTTTGACATGATTCGATAGCAACATCGCGACAACCCGCCGCACATCAACGCGCCGTTTGGTGTGCTTCGTTAGCGACAGGACAAGACGATAGTACGACAACGCGCCGTTAAGAGCACAAAAGTGTTTCAAATCAACTTCTATAACATTCCATGTCAAAAAGTATGGTGGCTGGATCGCTTTTGTTTAAAGTGCCAAACAGCGTGTTGTTGGACTTTCGTCTTGTCGTCCTGTCGATAACGATGCACACCAAACGGCGCGTTGTCGTGTGGCGTGTTGTCACATTGTCGCTTGGCTCAAATCGAAGGACTGGGTTAAAAGCCAAGCGACAGGTGCTATATCGCGACAACTCGCCGCACGACAACATGCCATTTGGGTTTCAGGACGTCAAGACGACAGTGCGACAACGCGCCGTTTGGCGCGTTTCGCAAGCGACAAGACGAAAAGGCGATAACGATATAGGATGTATTGTCCCTATCGACAACGTAACGCGCAAAGTGTACCAAATCAAATAAAAGCCTAAAATTTAGTATCTTATTATTTAAATCCATCTGAATATTTGCTTGAACATTACGGTGGGATTTAAATTGGTTCTTCTTCATCATGCTGCTGCTGATGAAGAAGAAACTTTCGTTTAAGCGTGGATAAATATCAATTTTCCTACGTTTGCGCATCATCATATTCATTTAGTCTCATATTTGTCTGCGTCAGTCTTAGAGATCTATGACTGATGCTTTTGGCAGAAGTGACATACATAATGGTACATACGTTATTGTAAATAAGAATTAATGTCTGAAATATCCAGAAAAAGTCTTAAAAGCCCGTGATCTTATTTGGTACGATGGTGGACATTAACCCCCGTCGTCGGAACACACTGTACACATTCCGTATATACTACATGCATACGGTAAATAGCCTGGGTTCCCGAGGATGATTAGGAGACGGCCTAGTGAATTTTCGTATTCTTTGTTCCATAGTAAATCAGTCACATTTGAGGCAAAATTACCAATTCCACTGTTCCTGATGAATTATAATCTTTCTTCAACTTTAAACACCAACACTATCTTAGTCAAATGAGGCCAAAAATATAACATGTTAGCCATCAACTTTTTTCAGAAATCTTCATTTTGTTGTAACACTGTTTAAATTCTTCACTTTGAAAAATCTTGACTGCTGGAAGGCAATCGCAACTACTCGGTCCTTAATCTTCGGATAAGGACCTCGAACACTATAGTATGAATACACAGAACGGATGCGGCATTTCGGTCTAACCTACGCTAAGATACTAAACATGTAAACAAATAGTAATTTAATGATGGGAATTGTTGACAAGTTTATTTCCAATATAGGTAGTTAAAGTCCATCTAAAATAAGTGAATTCATAGGTACAAAAGCAAACAATACATATATTCTTTATATATTTATTGTTATGATTGTAGAAACCGAAAGTACAAAAAAAAACCTGTTGACATTTAGTCGGATTTGTTTAAAATTGAACATCAGTGGGCATATTTAAATTACAAACTGTTGTCAGACATATTTTCAAGCAAAAGAGTACCGGAACAGACATTCGTTTTACATTATCTCTGTTATGTTTCCATCTGAAACCACGTGGTAGAAATACTTTCAATCCGTATTGTTTCCGAGGTTATTATAGATAATAGCCGCGGCAGTTCCGAATGTGCTGGTGGGTATTACGTTTTTAATCCTTCCGCCAACAAATGAGTTCCTGGAGAATACACAAAATAACTTTTAAAGTCATCCTATAATACACAAAACTACACACATGCAATAAATACACTTTAATTATGATCAATCAAACTAGAGAGAACTTAAACTGAGCCACTTCAAAAATTTAGAGAACTACTTTCTAGCGGGTTGGGTGTCATTCCGTACCGGGATGAGACTGGCCACGTTACTACGTTAAGGCTGAATGTTCTCTCATTCTTTCAGACCCTTTTAGCGAAAATCTATAAATTTATAGATAAAATTAATCTGTTTTATAATATTATTTCTTATTTATAAAAGGTTCAAACTCTATCAACTTTATGTCACTTAATGACCAGTCATGACGGAATTTTTATGCCAACTATATATATATATAAATAAATTAACCATATATATATATATATGTTATACTTATCATTTGTTCGTTTTAAGTGAATATGTTGGAAAAAATAATATAGTAATATAATCTCCGATAGATTTACGGTACATTGCGTGAGATGTACACAGTAAGATGATATTTAAGTTATTGTACGTATTACAGGGCAATACGGTAAACTTCTAAATGCCCTATAAGTGTTGTAAGATCGAGACTTCGATGGCCCAAGTTTTTCATACATTAATATTTTCAACATTATTGAAGTTTTTTAAATTGTTTTGCTTTTGTTTTGGTAAAATCCATACACTTTTTAAAAAACATGGTTTAGGAATCAATATTTAAATTTCATTCGGATTAAATTCAATAAATGTCATTTCAATGCCGCACAACACAAAACAAATCGATACAAGACAGTGTTTTTAAGTTGCTTCATATCAGTAAGGACAATTATGCAAGCTCTCGGCTTTTTCCATTAAAATGTAAAGAAAGAGCAGGTAAAAGAACAATGGCTCCGATCGAACCGCAGACCACTCACATATCGGGCAATCACTTAACTGGCTGTGCTATTGCAGATGTGACAAAGCTTATGCATTAAGCTGGCATGACTTTTCTATACTCCATACTAATTCTCGTAATCTACAGGGACAAAACCGAAGTAGGATCGAATATTAAGATGAGTGGTATAATGTATTCTTAATGTACAGGTCAATAAAATCAGACTATAGCATTGTCTAATTTCCAAACATTTAAGTCATTGTAATTGTTTTTGTTAATATCAATTATATACTACATTTATAAATTTGTATTTTCAAAAGTTACATACGAGATGGCAAATTGAGCTAGAGTTGTTTTTCTTTCTTTTCCTGCAAAAATGATAATTACATAAGAATGCGTTACCATGTTTGTATCCGCCCATTTACACACGCTACAAACTTTTTCGTTTAAATATTAAACCTATGCAGATATCAAGTTTAACGCTTAAGGATCTTGTTTCTTTCTATCCTTTGTGTTGTACATTACGCGCTTATTACAGCGTATGCTATAATCTAAGTTGACAAATCTTATCGGTATTTACAGGGTTTTTTTTTTTCTATAAATATTTGTGTGATCTCGCGTTAGCTTACATGTGCAAAACACGTGTTTAAATTTCAAATATTTAATAGGTCGGATTAAAAACTATCTAAAAGCGAAACTAGGAAGTATATATGAAAATGTGCAACAATTGTTGAACTATATAATGATTAGATATTCTTCAAATACTGGCTCATGTTCGTGCCAGCGTATTAATTCGAGTGTAGAGGATTATCTTCGATGTGCCCCGTGCCCTCCTCCGATGATGTCCTTGGAGGATTTCCTTGACCACGCGAAACAAAAGTTATTAATAAGGAAGGACGCGTGTATAATAAGCAACAGATGCTTCAACAACAAGACTGCACTTGCTATCCATTGTCAACCATCTGTGTTTGACTGCCCTGAAGTTACTACAATACCCGTTGACACGCATGAAAATTTGTCTTCTTCCCTGGGTGCAATTGGTATATTTGTACTAGTACTAGTACATGCACTAATAACAATCGCCGCCACATTGTGGACATATTTTTTATGGTAAGTTCAAACATTTCTTGTATATCCTATCTTGTTATGTATAAGAATCGCTTTGAAAAAACATAACCATTTAATATTATGTGAGATGTAATTGGACTCCCCTGATAATGAGGAATTTCCCAAAATCTAGTTTCATTTTCGTTTAATGAATGTCGTCACGTTGGTATACTGTGATTTACTTTTTTCTTATCTTATTTCAGGGTGAGACGAAAAAATAAGGAGGTAAGGTTTCAAGTTTATTGATAAACCAACTTCTTACATTAATTTAAGATATACGGAAACGTTTAAGGGTCAGTATGTGTAAGTCGACTGACTTTAGACATTTTAACATAAATCAATTTACTTTTTTCACAAAGATTAAATAAACGTTATTTCGCTGAACCTTTTAATCGATATGGTTGATGTTTTTGTCTAGGCGAAAAGGTATCTTTTCGTCTTTTGTAAAATATTTGTCTTTTTTGACAAAAATTCGCCTAGACAATAAACTAAGTATTTTGAAAAAAAGTGACTTAGAATAACAAATATGGTATAATCTTTAAGAACAACATGAATTCATTTCTGTTAAAAACATCTAATCAAATCGAACATAAATTAGCCGCCTTACACCTAAAAATCGCACTAAAATGTTGATAACTTTAAATATTTACAACGAATGTTTATCTTTATGCAGTATACTAATACATTATGCCACTATAAAATAACAATTGAAAATTGTATTTGTCAAATCATATAGTAGTTGTATAATTTCAAATAAAATTAAAAATGATCAGGCCTTTTTTCCTCTATCCCACGGGTCCGATTATGGATCCCATAACCCATCAAAAAAAAATCCCAGTTTAGAAGACGGCAATTTAAAAGAAAAAGTACCGCATTTTCAATTTTGGTGTCGCGAAATAGCGTTTCGGAATATATTTATGTGATAAAACAGGATTTTTCATTGATATCAGTTTTACATTAAAAAATTTTGTACACATTTTAGCCTGTCCTTGTATTTTTGATAAGACAGAAAAAGCTGAACAGTTTAAGTAAGATTTGTTTTGATTTATTTTATCAATTGTTACATCTTTAATGCTAGCATATTTTCACAATTAAGCAAATTTCACGATTATTTTTTTCCCAAACTGGAAAATTTTACGACACAAATTTCCCAAATTTGCCATGTGGCGTTTTCCCAAAAGAGAAAAAAAGGCCTGATGATAGAAATGTGTGTATGTCTAAAATGATTTAATCCTGAAATTTGTTTTGCACAAATAAAACAACATATTAGAAAATATTTTTTCGTTGTATTATAAAATGTAAAAATGCTGACATTTTATTGAAGTTTCCTAAGAATCAGAGTCCTGTTATTGTCTTTGCAGGGTAAATCGAGAGATATATTACCAATATTCAGACACTGTATGAAAAAACAACGGTCAAAAACATCGCAGGAGGGCATTGAAATACCACTTAGAGAGGTATATGCCGATAAGCTGGAAAAAGCTTGGGTTTATTTCTATTTTTGAAATTTGTTGCTAAAGCTACAGTCTCACTTACATCCCGGTAAAGCCCCGGTAGACGTCCGGGTTGATCGGGGAACGACCGGGGTACGACCGGGACCAATCGGAGTACATCTATAACTCTGCCGGAAAGATCCGGAAAGATCCCGCATTCGACCGCGTATGGAATAAAATATTTAATATCACCGGGGTGGTCCGAGATGATCCGGGCAGTATAGATTTGCCGGCTTCATCCTTAGCTCTGCCGGGAACGATCGGGTTTACACCGGGGAAACACCGTAGCGCTGCCGGCACAAACCAGGGATGACCTATGGGCATGATATAGCCGGTAGAGCTACGGTAGAGCCCCGTAGAATGATGGCAGAGCCCCGGTGAAGGCCGACAGAGCCAAGGTGAATGCCGGCAGAGCCCCGAAGGATGCCGGCAGAGTCCCGGAGGATGACGATGGAGCTACGGTTGATCCCGGTAGAGTCCCAGTAAAGCGCGTTCATTTCAAAAGAATCAAGACAATTTGCGATGATTTCACTTGTTTGTATTTAAACCCTTCCTATTTCCAATTTATCCAGTCTTTTCAGAAAATCATCATGAATTACTGTTCTGGAACAAAAGATATAATATTAAATAAAATTATGTATCAATGTAATAATGTTAGCGCGTTTTCAATCCACCGGAGCTCTACCTGGGTCAACCGGGGCTCTTTCAGCGTCATCCGGGAACGACCGGGGAAGCACTGGCATGAACCATAGCTTCATCTAGGCTCTGCCTGGATGGTCCGGAGCGCATCCTGGGTGGTTAGTTGGGAATTACCGTAGTTCTGCCGGGGTAAGTGTGATCGCAACAATAATTTCACCCCGGATCGTCCCGGATCATCCCAGTAACTTACCGGGGTGGTCCTGGGCTCTGCCGGGAGTAAGTGAGCCCGCAGCTTAAGGAAGATGTGGAAAATTGTCGTCATACTTCGTTTATTACCTACAATTTCTAAAATACAGTAAAATGAATGACACATTTACGGTGGTACAGAGGTGACATATGTGTTTTTATTTATCTCTTGCTACGAGTTACCATGTCGTGCGCACTAGTTTCTATGTCGTGCGCACGAGATAATTAAGTCGTGCGCACGAGTTACTATTTCGTCTGCACGAAGTATTATGTCGTGAGCATGATAATAGTTAAGTGATGTGTCCGAGTCACTGGTTCGTGCGTTTGAAATAATTAAGGCATGAGCAAGAGTTATTATGTCGTGTGCACGAGTTACTCTTTCCTGCACAAGAGTCACTATATCGTGCGCACTAGTAACTATGTCGTGTACACTGTTGACTATGTCATGGCACGAAATATTTTAGTCGTGCGCATAAGTAATAACTTACTTATGCGCACAAGTTACTAAGTAGAGTTAATTTAGTCGTGTGCACGAGTAAATCTGTGGTGCGAACGAAATCATTTAGTCGTACGCACAGTATAATTAACCATATTACACTACACTTAAAATATCTTATAAGTGTGCATGTATAAATATCATATTATTATCATATGAGTTAATTAATATTGACCCTATCATGCTGAAATTTTCAATATATTCAGTTGAGAGTCATGGTATGATATTCCATTTATTTAAATTAATTTCATTACAAACTAAATTCAACACACATGCCCAATAAATGTGAGTTTGCGTTAAAAGTAAATGTCGAAAAATTATTACATATTTTATTAATGAATGCTTACGTTGACTTTAATAACATCATGACAGGTTGATTTATCGTTGTACATTTAATTTTGGGGTAGATTTTAGGCTGGTTACTTGGCGATTGTCTGTCGCAATCCACAGGGAAGTTCATGTAATATGTTGGTTCCCTTCTTCAAAGCGCGGCGCATTTGAATACGGCAAAGCCATTTTGAATTTTTGTCGGAAAGATTTTGTAAATGGAGTAAAACGGTGGTAATGTTGATGTTTATTTCGCCTGTTGCGTTGTTTATATTGATGTTGAAGTTCAAAATTGGATAAAAGGATTATGTGAAAATATAGGAAATGGAATAAAAAAAACATGGTGATTTTGTGGGTAGGTGTGCAGACTTTTTTCCGGCAAACATTTTTATCTTGTGTAATATGAAATTAGGCAAAGCCTATCAACTGGAAAGCCGGTTAAAATAATCGTTCATTTTTATTTCATACTTTCCGTTTTAAAAGTATCATTCGGTATTTATGCACTGCTTCCGTTTATTGTTTCGGATCTACGGAGAAGTGGCGACATATGGGATTCACTTCTCGTCGTCTGTCAGTCCGTCTGTCCGGCTGTCAAAAAATCTTGTACGAACTACTTTTCCTAAACTAGTAGTGCAATTTCATCCAAACTTTACAGGAATGATCAGTAATAAGTCTAGTTGTGCCTATCGTCAGTATTTTCCAGTTCAATGATTTTTATCTAGAGCTATGGATCTTTAATAATTTCTTAAGGTTTGTCTGGACTACTCTTCTTATACCACTGACACTTTACATGATTGATCTGACGCATATTGCACGGGTTTTCCGGTTGAATAATTTTGGCCGATTTATGGCCCTTGAATAAAAAGGTGTTTTTTTGTATATTGCCAGATACACAAAAGCTTGTCCGGTCTACTTCTCAAACACTACTGGTGCATTTCCATTAAAACTTTACAGGAATGATCAGTACGAAGTCTACTTGTGCATATCATCGGCTTTATACGGTTCAGTTTATTTTGTCGGAGTTATGGCCCTTTGATTTTTTTTCGGACTACTCCTCTTACACCACTAATGCAATTTCAATGAAACATTACAGAATTGATTGGTAGGTCAAGTACTTGCGCATATTACATGGGTTTTCCGCTTAAATGATTTTTGGCCCAGTTATAGCTCTTGAATGAAAAGGGTATTAACATCATAAAGTTTGACCGGACTACTCCTCTTATACCACTAATGCAATTTCAATGAAACTTTACAGGATTGATTGGTATATCAAGTACACAAGGTTTTCGCTTGAATTATTTTTGGCTAAGTAAATGCCTTTGTTTTGTGTTGTCAGCTACTTGTTTGGACTACTCTTCAGAAACCATTTTCATCAAAACTTTACAGAATAATCAATAATATGTGTAGTTGTGCAACTCATTAACATTTTTCGATATAATGATTATTGTAAGTAATGTAATGAGTAATGTCCCTTTCATGATTTTAATTTTTAAAATTTGTTCGGACTACTCTTAATTGAAATTTTACTGGATTGATCGGTAGCTCAAGTACTTGCACATAATACACGGGGTGTCCGGTTGAAGAATTTTCAGCCGAGTTAGGGGCCTGGAATTAAAAATGTGTTTTGCCCTGTTAATGATTTTTGAGTAGCTGCAACATGCGATTGGCTATCATGAAGCGACAAGTGTCACCACATATGGTCATTGTTCTGGTTCCCTGTCTTATCATGGTTCCCATCATAATTTTATCGTTATCTTTTTAATCGAAAAGTTGCGATTGGTCTATTATCGGAATACTACGTCGTTTATAGTGATGTTCCGATTGTCGCAAGTCGCTGATAATCAGTTACTGTTATGTAAAGCGACAATAATCGATTCACAACAATTTGTTCCGCGATGTCGTCGAAAATGTTTAAAGTATCGAAGGGAAATAATTCTGACGGTAATTTTCTTTTAGGAACACCTCCCTGATCGCAAAAAAAATTATCTCAGAGACAATTTGGAGTTGAATAGGATCAATACGTGATGTAAACAATAGTAATACAAGTAAAATTGTTTCCTGCGGTGAACATTTTAATGATACAAAGATATTTCATTTAACTATTTTCAACATTATTGGGGGGATAAATAAACGTTTTTATCAGGAATATAGTTGACAATAATCGATCAATATAGAAAAAGGTCTTTGGAAACAGGTGACCGTTCAAGACCGGTAAAGGTCGAACATAAAACAATTATTTCTTTTTACGAAAATGATTAAATAGGCAAAAAATAAATAAAGTAAACAAACAAGTTTACGCAGAAAATATCTCTATTTATTATGGCAGATGCCACTACGAATATTTTAATTTTGTAGATTTCAGTTTAAACAATTTATTGTTTGTAAAATTTGAGATAGATATTAAAGAAACATTGATAACTTTCAAACACATCATTCAAGTTTTTCCACTTTAAACGGTAAAATAATTATTATAATTAGAAATATCACGTAACAGTTTTTTGTTCTCAATTAGGTATAATTCGGACTTATTCCCTACAGATAAATCCGTAACGTACCGGCAAACGGTATTTAGCTGAGTTTTCGAAAAGGTCAATTAACCAATCATATACGGTTTACAGATCACATGCTCCTCCATGTACCGAAAACAGGTCACGTGCTCCTCCATGCCTCAAAAGTTAAACGCGTACCAATACCCTGCGGTCTCCAGACCGCAGGGAATAATGTGATGTGAATGTTATTATTTGACATCCATTGGAAAATTAAATCTATTTCGTAAAATTATAACTATATAGGGTTAAAACTGTGTTGAAAAGTGCTAAATGAAGTTCATGTTACTGAATATAATCAAGTGCATTGGAAAGAAATGTTTCTTCCCTTTTTCTTTTTAACACGACTTTAATCGGAAAGTTATCGATTATGTCCCATCCGATTGAACCGATGATCGATTGGGACAAATTTCATCCGATTTCCATCACTAGTCGTTTATCATTGCGTTAGGGCACCCAGAAAGAAATGACAATGACAATTTCGCTGATATGTATAGAATTCTGCATATCTATCTGTTTATGCTCCCATAAGGGTGAGTATATAGTCGCCGCTTTGTTCGTCCGTCCGCCTGCTGCCTGTCCGTCTGTCCGCTATTCGTGTCCGGGACATAACTTTGCAACTACTTTGAACTTTGTCCGGGATAACACTCTCACTCTAAAACTATAAGAGATGTCAACATCAAACTGTGTATGTAGATAGATATCATTGG